GGATTGGTGGCAAGGTTCAGAGGATTCTGTAACACAAACACAGCATTGAAAATAATGCAATAAAATACTTCATACAGACAGTATGTTTGGCTCACAGGGTGATTAGACAATCTCCTTTAATTTTCATCACTTGCACATTAGTCCCCAGTCATCCTGTTGAACTAATTTGATGCTCTGGTTCATGTGAGTTACAATATAGGTCTGTATTAAGCCAGAGTCAAACATCTGTTCACCAGCAGCTGTCTCAAACAGATGTTTCACATAAAAGTTTCATGTGGCTGCGGTGCCACCATGCAATAACATTATTACTATTATTAATACAATAGCATTATTACTATCATTATGAACTATAATACAATGACCACATAAACACAGAGTGCTGAAAGAACGGCCTGCTTAAAACCATCTCGGGCTCAATCCTGTGCATCTAACTCTCATTACTTCCAGCATCTCCAGGACGGCCAAAGCAGGGACTTTCTGATTAACAGCTTAAGTAGCAGTCCCATCCTCACTTCTCTGGAAGAAGATCTAATTGGATTTCGTGGGATTTGCTTCTGAGAAGACATGGATAGGATTGCACAGTTGCTACTACTGCCACAATAATGTTATGCTTATGGGTGCCTTTATTGGTACTACACAGCACAAAAGCAACATTGTTGGAGGACTGATGCTATAGGACTCTTCTTCCTTGCTTATTCAAGGAATAACTGATTTTGGAATTATACTCACATACCTCTGTTGAAACCAATGGGGTTTTATGCATACATCGACATATGTGCAGGGCTGCAGCTGCTTCCTGCTTTTCATTAAGAAAAAAGAACCCTGTTCTTTAGTATTCTGCTTGAATATCTCCCACAATCCTAAAACAGAGGAACTTGAGAGTTAAAAACAAACCCAGATGCAGTATGCACGCTCCATTTCTGAGCAACCAATACTGTTGCTCCCTCTGTATTTTCAAGAATTAATTTTGTCTCTTCTGCTGGAATGATTTTCCAAGGGTAGTATTTTCATTCTTTACTAACTCATGCAGGGAAGAGACCTAATTGCATTTTCCCATAGAATTTACTTTTTCTCACTGGGCTTATATGAAAAGTAATTATATTTTCTTTGCCCTCTTCCTTGTATCCATTCCTTTTAACCTAGGTTGGCTTTGTCCTCGTTTCCTCCAGGATAAAAGACCTTTTGTCTGGTTCAATTTATCTAGCAACTGTAATGCTTCAAGCAAGTGCTGGTTGCCAAGAGAATACAGGAGCATGATTACAGGAATATGGGGAGCTGCCAATGGAGGTCAGCCATTGGTCCATCCAGCTTGGCATTGGCCTTCCCCAACCAGATGCCCTCCAGGTATTTTTTACTTTCACCCCCCAACAAAGCCAGCCCACATAGCCAAGACTCAGAAATTCTGGGAGCTCTAACCCAAAACATCAGGGGCACATCAGGCTGGGGAGATAGGAGGCTTTTCAAGCCTTGCCTGGAGAATCAGGGGCTGAACCTGAGACATTTTGCAAAGAAAACATGTAGTGCTGCTGAGCTGCAGTCTTTCCTTGGTATGATGGCTGAGCAAGGTGCAAATGGCCACATTTCAACAGTCAGTGTATCCGACTTAAAGTTTACATCACAGATGATTCTGTGATTATTGCTATACAATCATGTCATTACCTTTCCTCCCAACCAGGAAAAGCAGGAAGGGATCCCATCTCATTCTTTTACTTGCTATTCTGTTTCTACAGGTCAGTAGTTTTACAGGTAGCTTTTCTTTATGGAGGAGTTCTTTTTTTAATTTTTATTAAGATTTTTAAACTAACACTAAAAATATCAATCATCAAATACATCAGACGCACTGGGTCAGTCCCCTACTCATGTTTTTTAACATTCCATAGTCATATTCAAATCCAATTTATGATAATTTAAAAACATATTTAAAACTAAGCCAAGTCCCGTTTCTCTAGCCAATAATAGAAAGAATCCCAAGTTTGATAGAAGTCAATATCTTCTTTCTCTTTCAGTGATAAAGCCAATCTATCCATTTCTGCACAGTCCAGAATCTTTTTTAGAATCAGTTCATCAGTGCGTAGTTCCTCACTTTTCCAGTATTGAGTGAATGCAATCCTCGCCGCGGTGATTACATGTAACATCAAATACATTTCTTGTTTACTAATGTCTTCTGGTATGATGCCTAAAAAAAAAACTTCAGGTTTAAAAGCTAAAGATTTTTGTAACATTTCCTCCAGCCATTTATGTATTTTAATCCAATACTTTTTCACATTGTCGCAAGTCCACCACATATGGTAAAAAGTACCCAATTTATGTTTACATTTCCAACATCCATTTGACATATTTGGAAACATCTTAGCTAATCGATTTGGCGATAGGTACCATCTATAAAACATTTTATATAGGTTTTCTTTATACGAAATTGCCAATGTTACCTTAATATTTCTCTTCCACAGCTTTTGCCACTTTTCTAATTCAATACTATATCCAAAATTTTGTGCCCATGTTATCATAGTTTCCTTAACCTGTTCATCTTCCATTTTCCTATCAAGTAAGAAATCATATAATCTTTTAATCATTTTCTCATCTGATTTAAGCATCACTTGATCAAACACTGTTAATTCCTTATAAAAACCCCACGCTTTACAATCTTTAGCATACCTCGATTGTATCTGCACCTTGTGCCACCAAGAGATATTAGATCCCTGTTCTTGTGTTTCTTGATCTAATTTCAAGCCTCCATCCTTATCCAAAATATCATCATATCGTATAATCCCTTCAAAATTCAGTGTATTTGGATATACAAAAGCTTCCATGGGTGAAAGCCATCTTGGTAATTTATTATACAATTTTAACTTTAACTTTTCCCACACTGACATTAATGATTTTCTGATATAGTGACTTAAAAAAGAGCCATGTGACTTAGCCTTCTCGTACCATATATAAGCATGCCAGCCCATTTGCAAATCATGTTTATGGAGGAGTTCTTAAACATTGTGCCATAAGCCACTGAGTCTGGTTTGCTTCTTTGCAGGTGACAATGCCTAGTTTTGCATGACACGATAGCCCACTGTGGGTATGCAGTGGCTTGTTTCTCCAGGCTTAGTAGCATGGGCTGTTCTAGGCACTGTTGTACCACAAAGGGGTTGTTGTGTTGTCTGAACCAGTAGATGACTGAGTGGATAGTGGGTATGGGGAACTGAATCCACAGCCCCATGGCAAGAGTGGTAAAAGCCCCCTGTGGGGTTACCAGAGGAGCACCAGTGCAAGCTATCCCCAAAAGACCCAAGTGTGGTGCTTGGGAGTGGCACGCAATAAACTCCTCTCCCCATTTTTTCCCCTTCCCCACTTTTATTTGCAGAGACCAGAAAAGCTGGCTGTCAAGCTGGCTTTTGCAATCTCTATTTTGACAGGTATGAGCAGTCCCTTCAAAATGTCCTATTGGCATGTTGGAGGGACTTACTATGGTTTCCAAACCATTTTTTGTTATTTCTTTTGCACCTGCAAATTGTCACAAATAGAGGCAGCAATCAATCCCCCCACCCCCAAATTTGGCTACATCTCACAAGTGTCAAAGTGCTAGCTGCCAGATGCACCCAAAGTGTTTGGGGGAGTTTGCACCTCCATCACAGCAAGATCCTCATTTCCCCCTCCCCATTTAGTTCCATTTTGTCCTGAAAATGGACAAAGGCAAAAGCCTATTCTATCCTCTTTTTCAAGGGAAAGAGGGTTTCAATAGCTTGGAGAGGTAGCTGTCAAACTTGGGACACTTTAAAAGCTGGGGGGGGGGGCGGTGAATAAGACTTGGGTGTTATTGGACTGGGACATGTAATTGTGGATATTCCCAGTCCTAAACCCCATTGAGGGCTGGCTTTCTGGAAAAAAAGAGGAAAATGCCATGGTATGCTCAAAATGGCTAATTGTGGAAGTGGGCAAACCCTAGATATTGACCCAGACAGACTCCAAATAGGTTTTGCTTTCCTTACAGATGTCTAGGCTAAGAAACTCCCTCCCTAGCAAGGCTTGAATAGTCCCCCTCCTGTTTTAGATAGAAGCTGTTTATATTCCATCAAATTTTCAGTATTGTTTGAAAAAAGATGTCTCCTTTGCCCATTCTGCTTTCATTATTTTGTTCTGCCAGTTTTTTGCATTGTGTTGAGACTGGTTTCATCATTTTTAATTATTTTATGGCAAGTTGCTTTGGGGCCTTTTTACAGCCAAGAAGCTGAATGCACATTTTCTTATGCATATGTGTAATTAAGATACATTACATTGCTACAAATTTTTCTAGTAACTGCAACTCAAATACATTAGATTACCAGTGTATAGGTTTTCACTGCTCCCTCCCTAGAGTGCCTTCAGTTTTTCCTTACACTTGGACTAAAGAACTGAGATTCCCCAAACACAGGGCAACAACTAATTGCAGCAAGAAGCGAAGCACCAATGAAGGTCGAGTTAAAAATTTCACGCAGCTGTTGTAAACGCGCTTGCGAGACTTCCATTAGGATGAATGTAACTCTCAGCCCGTCCCATGCAGACGTTCGTCGGGCGCTTCCGAGTCTGGGGACAGCAGGGCCCGCGCGCCTTTCGGCAGCCGCGCGACAGGGAGCAAAGGCGCGGTGTTCGTCACCGTCGTCCCTGCAAGCAGAGAAAGGCTTCGCCTCAGCCTTTCCGCCTCCCGCGCAGAGCGGGAAAAGTGAGACGCCCCGCCGAAGAGCCGCCCGCGCGGGGCCGCACAGACTCCGGGCCCGCCCAGCTCCCTCGCCTGAGCGATGCGCGGCGCGCCGTCCTCCGCCTGGCGGCCGAGAGGCGGCGGCTCAGGGGCTCCCTCCGCGTGGCGGCGGGGGCGGGCCTCCCGGCTCCCAAACTTTTCCGACTAGCGCCAGCTCGGCTCGGGGCCTTCCAGCGCGCCTGCCCCGGCATGTGTCCTTCCGCAAGACACGTGCGCGGCAGCGGCAGCCAGGAGGAGACGAGAGCGGCCGTCCATCGCTCACCCGGGCCCCCCAGCCGCCCTCGCCCGCGGCCGCAGGATGAGCCCGTCGCGCTGCGCAGCGACGGACCGGCGGCTGGGCAAAGGCTTGGCTTTCCGCCTCTGCCTCTTGCTCTCGGCCACCCTCCTGCTGTGTCTCCGGCTGGGGCTCCGGCGCTCTGGGGACGTGGCGGACGCCAAGCCCGTGGCGACGGGGCGCGAGTCCGGAGTCGCGCCTGCCGGCCGCAGAGGCGACGGGGCGTACGAGGCGACCAGCAGCGGCAGGAGAAGGCAAGTCACCTACGTGAGGAGTAGCCGCCGAAGGAGTCCCGCAGAGCCCTCGTGCTGCCACCAGGGGGCGCCCCTTCGCAGGAAGGTAAAAGTTCCGAAAGTAGGGGCCTGGGGGCTGTGCGGCTGGTAAAAAGGGTTTATGCGGTATTAGTCTAATTTCACCCTTTCTCATTTCAAAGGGATTTCGCTAACTTGAGTTCTAATTGTAGAATCTAAGTTGGACCCAGCCCAGAAACTGCGGATTGTTGGCTTCTTCACTCAATTTGGCCCTGCCAGAGTTTTTTAATTTCTCTGATATGGATGTGATATGGATTGTTTGTTTTTTTAAAATGGGCAATGTGTCTGTCCTGGCGTTTAATTTCAGTTGGGACTCTGCTCAGGTCAGCACTGGAGCACATGAGGCACTGAAAAAGAAGAGAGGGCCTCTGAGTGTGTGCAAAGTTCTAGGCCTGTGGAGTTTGCGGATTCCTAAACTAGGACTGTCCAGTCAGCATTTGAAAACCAGGAGACTATCATTGTGTGGTTTGGCCGTTCTGCTGAGCAGAGAGGGAACAAAGTGGGCATATTTTGACATTGATTCCATTCTGAATGTCAAAGTTCTGACTTGCCACAGATGAGAACTTTCTCTTAAAATGAGGAATATGCTTCTTAAATACATGCATTGAGCTTAGTAACAGGATCACCAGATCAAACTTTCTAAAGCAAGGGTCCCTGTGCAGGTCTCTAAGCTGAAAAAAATGGTCTATATGGAGCATCCATCCTTAGGTTAAATATCAAGGCATGAGCTCTAGACTGATGCATTGTCTCATGTTGCTATATGTGCTGGTGAAATTCCTTAAAAAATAATCTCGGGGAAGGTTAAGAAAAGTGTTCTTGTCTGCTATAACTTTGTACCTCAGACCTACAGGGTTTCATGCTGTTGCACCAAAAAGATCACCAGAGGCAAATTACTGCATGTGAGGGCCATATGTCTTCTGTAGTGTGGACAATAACAGTTTAGTGGAAACAATACAAGATGTGTGACTGTAATAGGAACAAAGTTCAGATTTGATCAAAGAAAGCCAGGCTTACTGAGGCTATGTCATCAGACTGCTGTCCTAACTAAATTGATATGGAAAGCAATCCACTTGGAAACAGTGGGATTTAAATCTGAGTAAATTTGATTATAATCAAGCTGATGGTGAATCAGATCCAAAGCCACACACTTTAGGGAATGTTTTCATTTCTCTGGGAGTGCTTCCAGGCAGAGGACTCCTGTTGTAAAAGTCAAAAGATGCTGTGCAACTATCCTGCCTTCTTTAATAGCTTTTTTTTCTGGTAAGAAAATGAAGAGGTGGGAAAACATAAAAGGGCAACAAAGTGAAGGTGATGATTGTCATGATTGGTTGTCATGTTGCTCAAACGTGAGCATTCTCTTCAGGTGGCTAATTTTCGGAGAGCAAGCCATGACTTGTTGTAGGGTAGTTCTTGCCCACTGTGGGTTGTCTTTGTCTGTTTCACTGTCAAAGAACAAGGAGGGAGGGTAGAAAGCTAGGGAATGCATGCACCAAAAGTCAGGGAACAATATCTTCCCCTTGGCCATCTGATCCTCTTGGTGTAAAGTATTGCACTAATGTATCTCAGTGTCTTCCACCTTTCCAACCCCTCCCCAACTTTCCAACTATTCAAGAGAGATTAACTCTGCCCACCTTTTCCAGCTCCTTTTCAGAGCTTCAGTATAATGCTGTATCCTGACAGTTTATAGAGCACCCTTTAGAAGAGGGCTGCATGAGGCAGAACAAATGTGTGTGCGGAAGTGTAAGTACTGCTGGTACTGGAACCCCATTTGCTCTGTTCTGTTTTGCCACCTTTTTAATCACCCGTCAGGAATATTTGCACATTTTTGGACTGTAAAGTAAATGGAAGGGAAATATATTGAAATATAATGACTGGGAAGTAAAGGGAGGGAGAATGTGCCCAAATTTAAGAGTTGGAAAGTAAATGGAGGGGAAATGTGTCTCTTTGCAATAATGGAGCAGTTAATGCTGATGCACAACATTTCACATCATTACTTTGTAGCCCTTAAATTTGGCCAAATTCCCCCTCCATTTATTTCATAAGAATTAAATTTCTATATATTCTGACTTCCTTTTAAACTATCAGGGAACTTCAGTAACTATAACAGTAAGTGCTCCAAAAAGGGTTCCTGAAAAGGAACAGGGTGTTAATATCTCTCCTTTATGGGAAGTGCTGAGATTGAGAACTGTCAGTTCAACATTCAAAATCAAATTCAGGGGGAGCAGTTGTCTTTTGGTGTACCTTCTTTTTCCCAGTGGTCTTCAGTTGGTAATTCGGCAACTAATCCCTGGCAGTGCAGTCCCACCTGTCAATCTGTTACTACTGTACTTTGTCCCCCATTTTGACAGCTGAAACAGACCAGGAAATTGACCATGCAAGGCTTCAGTTATCCTGGACCTGAAAGATTGCACAAAAATGACAGTAATTAAAATGATGACCACAGTTGCACAGTTTTGAGGCCCCCACTCCAAAATGACCCAAATTACACTTTTTTGAGGTTCTGAAAAAAACTCCCCAAAAGGAAGTGAAGAAAAAGACATACTGGTTAGAGTGGGGAGGGGGAGACAAGATAGATTGTGCTGCGAAGGACACTGGAAACCAGCTAAGTATTGAGGGAGAAGGCGTGCAGACGATGCACAGAGCACCTGATTGCTTGTCAGTGAATAAGGAAGATACTGCAAAGTATTTGCAGGGTGAGTTAGTGTGATGTGACAATGCAGTGATTATCCGGACCAAGAAAGACCATGAATGAGGCGGTATGATTACACATGGAAGTCCTCATCTGGAAGCACTCTTTAAACAGTCCAAGGCAACAGCTGCTGGCCTTCATTTTCATCTTTAAAATGGGACAGACCTTCCCAGCCCTGGCTCAGCAAAGAGCAGTTTGTGTGTGGCCCTCTTTCACAGTTGGCTTATATCATAACTGCTCTCCTGACTTTATCGTTTCCTCCTGCTAAAATATATGAAGAGTGCAAATGCAGAGTGATGGCAAATGCATGTGTTAAGCCAGGACAAACATTTTATGAACAAGATTTTTCACTGCTTTTCTGCTCCTTGAAGAGTAGGTGTGAATACTAGTCAGCCATGTTTTAATTTGGTTTAGGATGAGGTGAGCAACTTGTCACCCTCCAGATATTTTGCCCTAGAATTTCTATTAGCCCTTATCATTGGCTGTGATGAGTAGGGATGATGGGAAGTGTAGGCCCAGTCATCTGGAGGGCCGTGCACAACCCTATAATATATGAAGCCAGATCACTGTTCTCTCTAGCTACACCATTCTTCTTCAACCTGGCATACTCCAGATGTCCTGGACTACAAGGCTTACCATCCCCAGCCAGCATATGGGATGATGAGGGTGATAGTTCAACCTATTTGGAGGGCACCAGGATGGCCCACATTGACTGGCAGCGTCTCTCCAAGGCTTTGGGGTGAATCTGTTTAGCTGGAGAAGGCCAGACTGAATCCCAGGATCTTTTGCATGGAAATCAGTTCGAAAGCTAAGGAAAAATGAGCCTCATACTATTTCCTTGTATTTCCAAAAGATTATTAGAGTAGTGAGCAAGTTTTCTAGGACAGGGTGCAAAGGCTCAAAGTCAGAAAAGGAAGACAGCCTTTAATATGCCAAGCCTATTCAGAAGTAAGCCTCATAGATTTTAATGGAAATTACACCTATTGAATGCAGTAGGGCACTGGTTGTGTTGTAAGAGTCGGCCTCTCCCCATCTGAATCTGTCAGTTAAAATAAACTACAAAGAAATTTCAGTGGGTGATAAGGATTGCAGTCACGTAACTTTGCAATCATGCTCATAGCAGTATTTTGATATAGATATTGCAAGGTTTAGATATTGTAGTTGTTCAGTGGAGAAATCTCTCTGAAACAAAGGGGGTGTTTAATATTTTTTAATGAATACATGCTGTAACAAAGTCTTTTGGTCTGCATAGTAGGGCTTTATTGTTGTGGGTAAAGGGTAAAAAAGAATCCCATATACAGTCCATAAAAGATGCCATGTTTGTATAGTTTATACAGTTTCTTAAAAAAAAAGGAAAATTCTACCATGTATACATGCAGTAGGGGTATGTGTGTGTTGATCATACACTTCCTCTGTAACTACAAGTAATTAATCACAAGAGTGTTCTCATATTTTGAGTTGTGTTAAGAGAACATATGTGAGAGTAGAAACCCTCCAAACTGGATTGTGGCTTCAAGTTGTTCTTATGTAATATTAAAACTGCAAGTATATTTCCCTGATTTTATTGATTGATTTGATTTATTAAATCTCACCCAGTAGCCCTAAGCAGAACTTATTTTTAAACTGTGTATGGAAAACAGCAACTTTTTAGAAAAGGAAAGGCTGTTGTTTACAATGCAAGCCTGTGACAGAATGTGGCAGATTTGCGGAGTCAACACTAAGCTCTCCATGTGATTTTCCAGGGAGACGATAGGTCTCTACTTGCTTGTTTCAACAAAGCATATTCCTTAACTTGGCATTCAAAGTCTTTCACAGCCATGATGCGCTGAGGTTTGTCAAATGAAAGCTTGATGCCTCCTTATATTTGAGACAGACTTTTCAATATGACCCAAAATACCATGTTGGGAAAGGATCAAATGAAGTAGGTATTTTTAGTGAAAACTGAAAAGCTCAAAGAAAATCCTTTTTTCTCACATTTGTCCTTCATGGTTGCTGGCAAATATGGTCTACATATTGTCCTTTCCCTTAACTGCAGCTAAGAATAAAAAAATCTGTTTTTAATATTCATTCATTAGGGTTTTTTTTTTAAATCATGCACCTTGAGTACATCTGTGCTCTCAGGACAGATCACAGTAGAAGGGTAAAAACAATACTTTCTTACATAAACACCAACAAAAACATCAAAGCGAAACAGGCAAAACATAATAAATGAAATACTGGATAAATACTTCCACTGTGCCTTTAAAAACATTGAAAATTTAGGAAAATAAGAGGGACTTTGCTGGAATGATATTGGCTTGGGAGCCATGCTTTCTCAGGAAGACATTCCAAATGTTGAA